TAATATGTATGCAGGTAGAAACTTTATACTTCTTAGGGGTATACTTGAAGCTAAAATGGTCACCGGTGAATGTGGATTATACAACATGTGAAGTTCTTTGCTTCGTATATTAAACAACGGGAATCCGTTTGTATCCAAAAATGCAATCCTTATAGAATTTATAGTATTTGATGAAAATCTGTTGCTTACCTAAAATATACGAGCTTGAACAATTCACAATTCTTTTTAACAGTCCTTTAATTAATAACCCTAGAACGCACTATTTTACTATTGTCTTTAAAATTTGACAGGAAGTTGTTAGTACCCAATTCAGAAATTAATAATAAATGCAACTTGAGCCCGTATCCCTAAACGAAAGCTCATATACCAACGATTTGAGGGCAAAAGTAGTTATACGATCTAACAGGTGGATCCCATTGCAACCAAAGGTGTAATGATTAACGCCTTGAGACACTTCCTCAATTTCTAGGGGGGGTTTTTTAATGCTAGTAAAGCTAATGTACGTTAAAAGTGGTTACCATTACCAAAAAAACATCGAAAGAGACACATAATATTTCAACAGAGAACCGCACGTCATATACAGAAGTTTAAATTTTGTGTTAATGTTACTCATGCATTCTCTACTTCATATGTACGATTGGGCAATGAAAATGAATTGGAAATAATCTTATTAGTGTTCTTATTCATTGACAGATATTATTATCAAGGATGTCTGGATCTTCAACTAACGCGATAGGTACTAAAAACGGGTAGATGAAAGAGTTACAGTTACTACCTTCTTATTTCTTATGGATGCCATGCTGAATTTTTACAGAATGAGATAGAGGACAAAAAAAGAAAAATAATGCCGGGTCACACTCTATACTTTTACATTGATTTACAAGAAAAGTAATTTTTTTTGCAAAATCCAAGTGAATTCGTTGTACAGCCTCGAAATGTCTTCGAGTTGACTGTTCCTTTAACACCCATGCACTGAACTGTTGCGTTTAATTACCTTCTACATTAGGGTAGAATTTGAATTTGATAGTGTAACTTAAAAGTTGAATTTAGTTGGCAGTGTATGCATTAAAATATGTAAGAAATTTACCAAATGGACTGAGATTATGGTGCGACAATTATGACTCCAGAAATGAGGAATGTAAAGAAAGCATTCACTCCCTAACAGCAGTCACGTAAAGATAAGCGTATGAACTTGGCAATTTATACGCGAAAATTAGCGATATGAATTCGTAATTTAAGAGCGGTTGGTCCTATAGTTTAAGGCTAGGTGAATTAAAAAGAAGAGTGTACGTAAAGAAGTGTAGTGAAAGAGTTTGTTTTCGGCGAGAAGTAACAAAAGCATTGGTAAAGCTGCGTAAGAAGACGTATTATTTTATTAACCAGTCTGCGATTGTTTTCACCAGCTCGCGAGTAGTTTCATCGGCCAGTACGAAATTTGGTAGTATTTACCAAGGACGATTTAAGCGAATTTGGATAGCTGAGAGGAGTACGCATCGAACTATAATTACGTCCCATTAGAAGACTGCAACTCGATCTGCAATAGCGTCACCCGGCTGCATCATTAACAAATAACAACGTTCAATATCCAGCTTTGCATAATTGCCTGTGAACTAAAAGAGATTCAGCCAAACGTGCGTCGTCATAAATTATAATAATAATCATTACATTTTTAAGATAGGGTTTATTTAGATTTAGGGGTATTTGAATAACAATTAGTAGGGATTAGGTTATTGTTTCTCTTTTGTGTTTATACAACATTGCTCAATTCCAATGTGTACTTTTAAATAAATGTACATATTTCAATTTTTAAACAACTCGTTGGAAGTATTGCTATTCTACAAGAGAAAGTAAAAAGATGTGCTTGTTTCAAAGATAGCAAATTGTGAAATATACATCTATCTAAAACATTGGAATGCAAATTTTGAACTAATATTTTTCCAAATTTCGGTTACAAATTCTTTACAATTAATGAGATATCAGTGAAAGTGCAGGAATGAACTAAATTGTTCCCTAATTACTTACCTTAATTAACCTGATACAGTAAAGTAAGTTCCAAAAGTACTTCCGCAACTTAATAAAACGAGAAAATTACAAGAAGAATTTACACCACGGACCCAAGAAAATTTTCAACCCTTTGCAAGATACCAATACCTACAAGTTGGCACCCTTCCACGGGTCAGAATTACCGAACCCCCCTTTTATTTGTAACAATCAGTTACACCACCCTGTATCTTCTCTGTTATCAACTACCCCTAGCGAAATCTAACTTTCAAATCTACCAAAAATTCGAAAAAAATACCAAAATCGTTTCGTATTTAAATGGATTTGGACCGAAATTAATTTGAGCCGAAATAACTGCGCCAAAAACTAATAATTGGATACGAAGGTAACTTTTTCAACTCCTTAGATAAGAGGATGAAAAAGTAAGATTCGGTAGGTACACTAGTGGCAGTTTCAAACGAGATCCTTACAATACGGGTAATTTATTACGAGACTCACCCGTACTTTAGATTGACTGGAGGTTTCAAAGGCATTTTATTGTACGGGAAACAGTTATAGGATGAATCTCAACTTTAGTCTGGTGGATCGACGCGATACCCGTGAAATTCAGCGAACCGTCGTTTCCAGGGCCCACCTAAAAGGTCTCTTACATTTAACTATAGCAGCATATTCAAATAAAACGAATGCTGTGGAAAAGAATAATAGCTTCGAATCAGCAGTATCGAGAAGATAATTAAAGTGTATTGCTATTTAGAGAGAATAATTTTTTTTAGTTCTCAACAAATATAAAAGCAACGTTTGACATAATCGTTTATGATTGTGTTATCCTTTGAATACAAAGTATAAAGTAATCTATATTCAAAAGTGTTAACCATATAAAAGTTTACTAAATATTATTTATACAGAAAATACAGAAGCAAAATAATAAATACTTCAGAAACTTAACTTTTCAAGGGAAATCGCTAAACAATTTGTACCGGTTTGTGGTATAGTTCGGCCAAATTTGGTCGTTGATTTTGTTGATTTTCAATAATCTGATAAATATCGAAACTACAATTTTGTTCACTAGTATACTGTTCTGGTCCCTGGATTTCGTGTAAAAATAAAAATGTCCGATTAAAATTCAAGCTCCTATGTATTTACCCTCGAATAATCACGGCAAGGGTTCTTTCAAAATTGATTCAATTGAACTTGTTCTTTGTCTGGGGTATCACACTTGGAGAATTGTCATATAAAAATTTCAATGGGTAGTACCTATATGGAGGCAAAGGCGGAAGTATCAACGTTTTCACTTATGTATGCAATTTTTATTTCCCCAACGTTCCCTTGAAACCGGTTTTGACATTATTTACGTTATTTTTAATGGCCTTTCTTTTATAGTACACACTGTATTACTTAATTATTGAAATAAAACATTTTCGAAGTATTACCTTACAAAATAAATATTTCTTTGGATAGTTGGCCAATGTAAGAAAACAGTGTAATGGACAATTTGAACCTGAATCGTCCCAGGACAACTGGTACAGGACAATTGTTTTTTATCGTTGAATTTTATTTTCAATTTTATAATTGCAAGAAAATGCTATACAATTATGAGAGGAAACGGTGCACCTGCAAACAACTTGTGGTGCAGCCTACCGGTTTAATTGTCTTTAATGAAACCCATCCTGGATAAACGCTCGTCCTCCAAGAAAAGGTGCCATCAAAGAAGATATAGAACTATATATCAGCTATTGTTCACGGATAATGTTTTCTCGTTTTCTTCTTGGAATATTTACACAAAGACCCAACTATTCGTAGAAATTGGTGAAGTTTCGTACAATATTCGGTTGTAGTTTTTATTATAATTGGATGGTTTCTTTAACTTTCCAATTGCAAGGAAATATCTTTTTTTGCATGGTTAGCAAATTACCGGACTTTTTTGACGAAAAATCCTATGGAAAGTGTTACTTTTTTTCACCATTTATATATTACTATTTAGATAGATAGATAGATGCTTTTATTTCCACGTTCATCATTGGATATACACAAAAACAGACAAAAAATAACAATATGTTCTAAAAAAATAATAAACTAAAACAAATAAATAATACTAGATGAATCGCAGATAGGTAAAAGTTAAACTTTAGATAAGAAAATGATACGCCTATTAACCTATCTTCTTGTTATCACAGTAAAAATCAAGCAAGATGGAGACAAAGGCAAAGAGTTATACCTACCTACAAAGAATACACTATTTAAAGATTAACGAAAAAGAAAGAGAAAAATTTATACTATACTTTCAAAACTAGTTGTACAAATAACTATAGTACTTAGTACGAAAAGGTATGTAGGAACTGCACTAAGTGGCCCTCCGTTGTAACCAGAGTAGCGTCATTTTGTGACAACCGCACTAACATTCGTCACCTCGTATAATCAATAGGAGTCATTATCACACCCCTTTAGGGTGACTGTAATTCACTTTTTTGTACTTATATACCTTTTCTTTAACACTATCTCAACTGAACTATTTAAAATTGACAAAGATTCATATTAAGTTCCAAAAATTATTCTATACATTATACCCTTAAAATACTTTTAATAAAATGCCGTCCCTTTCAATTGGTATTGGACAGTAATGGAAGCCTTTGGAACCCAAACCAATTTCATAATTATCGCATTCTCTTCGTATGCAGAACAGCTTTAAATAATCAAATCTATAAATGTCGGAACGAGTTACGCATAATCTACACCATGAATAATAAAATTGTATTATTCTTTATTGTGCGCTTGAAGTGGATGTTCGCTTTGGAATTTAATGCATTTGGACATTTTCCTTCGCAATACATTTCTCTAAAAATAAAGGCCGGTAAAGGGTGTCGGCCACCCCACAAGAACCGCGCGAGAAAAAAACTGCGTGGGCGCTTTGTTTCCACTTAACTTTTTGGAAAGCTCGCATAATTGAATCGGGCATTATTAGACGGGAGAAATACAATTTACGGAGGCGTAGCCCGGCGTACCTGCTCAGCGTGATCCGGTACCCTGACTGGAAGTCCTCCAACCACCATATATGCGTCGCCAATTGTTTCGATTTTGTAGACGTTATACGCGTTTATTGTCGCATCGAAGCAGGTGTAAAGGTCGTTCAGTAAATCCACCACTTGAAATGGGGTCGAGTGGGCGGAAATGGTGGTGAAGCCTACAATGTCGGAGAAGTAGATTGTTACCTCCTCAAACTCTTCGGGATCCACCGGCATTCCCAACTTAAGCTTATCGGCAACTGAACTGGAAATTAACAACGTTTAGCCTAAAATAATGCGTTAATTGCATTAATCAAAAAGTTCAGTCTGCCTCGCCTCTTTGACCTACTAGGTGTAAGCATGCCGAAAGAAAAGGTTGGAGTGAGAGATCCCATTCACCTAAATTAGACTCGAAATCGTAAAAAGAATTTAAGTGAACAGCCAAATTAATTTGAATTTTTTCCAATTCTGCTATTTCAAGTCCGTTTTAAGGGGCTGCATGGTTGGGCGTCTCTGTCGGCTTTTAATTTATATGCGAATAGTAGCAGAAAGCGCTATTAATCAGAGAAAATTGCAAAATCCAGTTCAGTTAAGTAACGCCATTCTTCGACTAAGACAAATAGCAAGTTATTGTCGTGGCGAAACTGCACTTTTCGACGATTTATGGCGAACAAATACCTTGGCAGCATGCGATTCAACAGCTGCTCCGTCTTCTTCTTTTCGATATCAAGCTGCTCCGTTCGCTCACGTATCAGCTCCTCCAAATTATTCGAGTACTTTTCCAACATTTGGAACATCGTGTCGACTATATTCACCTTGCGGCCGTGATTTAATTTTTTAAATAAGTCGTGAACCGCATTAAAATCGGGACGCAGATCGGGTTGCTCTGCCCAACATTGTCGCATGATATTTATAGCTTCGGGTGGCGCTGCTCCCTTACTAACCGATGGCCTAATTAGTGGCGGAGGGCGCTTCACCTTTTCGATAATCTCTATTATTACCACATTAGTTTTAAGTAAATAGAGCGTGTCGTGTGAGTATGCTATTCATCTTACCTTCAGGAGTTAAGGCAAACATACAGAATGGCTCCCCGCGGACGACAACTTCCTGGCAAATTATCCCGAAAGAATAAACGTCGCCAGGTTGAGTGCCTTTTTTCCTTAAATTTACGTGACGGAGAAGCTCAGGTGCGGACCACAACAGATCTAAAAATAAAAGCACTGGTTATCGATCCGCTGACTTTTAGTGTACATCAAGATTGTTATCACTAAAATAATACTTTTAAAAACAAAAACAGAAGACACTTATTTCGTGTTGTTTTCCCCTCTGTAGTGTGTTTATCGAAATTTCCGATTGACGTAGGAGGTATAAGGCTGAAAACGACGAGCTGCGGATTTATAGGGCAATTATTGTCTTTGTGTTCAAACAGTTTAAGGTTTTACTGTTAAATACATGGGGTAGATTCTTTTGGTTTAATTACAAAGTTTCAATGGGCATCCTTCAGTTTCCGAACACGATTCGCGCAACCATTTCTTAACCTTCCAATTAAATGTTAAAAGTTTTGTTGAACAATGAAAATGGCTTTTAACCGAAGTTTTCTTCTGTGTGCTCCATTATTAAAACATTGGAACGCAAAAGGGAAACGTATTCTCCTTATAGAATGAAAGTGCGAGGGATGAATGGGCAATAGGCATCTGATTGTCAATGCCTGAAGTAATTCATGCTTGATTTCTGGGTTTTTCCTACATTTATCACTTTCTTGGTTATTATAAGTATTTATTCAACTGTCTGTTCCTGTTACAAATCAACCTGATTATATATATCACGTGCTTTCCTTTTTTTAAGTAAGTGCGGCAAAAATAGAAAAAAATCTAATTAAAAGTAAAACAATTCATATAAATCTAACAAATAACTAGAACAATACAATCTTGTAAATTTGTTGATATGGGTCCATTTCGTGGATATAATTTTCCAATAAGGGCGGATACATTTTCTGCAAAAAAACCTGCAGGGGGTGTAGCTATTTAAATTACCACCCACATGAAACCATACATTTCAGAATTTTATAGCTTTTGTTTTTGAAATTATGGTGTGATCATATTTTTTTCGAATGAGTATACGCTTTATTTTGAAAGAGCATGCTTTCAACCGTATAGTTGAGGGTAGGTTGCAATGAAAAATTGATATAAAAGGGCAGTAAACGTTGAAATACCGACGAAAAAACCAAATTAAAAAATCCGATACAGCGGAATACCGAACGACCCGTTTTTGGGCTGTAACCTCACTACTCAATCTCGTCGATAATAAAACTCAAACTTAGCTAAATGGATGGGTCCATTGCATAAAAAATTAATGAAAATTTCTCCTTTTCTTGAACTACATCTACTAGGATTCTACCCTCCATTCCATGATTTGAAACAACGTAATGACCAAATTAAAATTCACTAGGAATTCTGTGGATTCGATTGAATGATGAAATGGAAAATGTAATAGGTCCCTAAATGATCACTTTTACAGTTAACCTTAGTTATTTATATTATACTCGTAATAATCTTGGCCTGATTATAGTGAAATCGTTATACTCTTTACTCCTAAGGCGCTAGTACAGATTTATGGTTCATTAACTAAAACTCGAATCTAACTATAATAAATAAACCAATCCATTCAAAGAGAAATGGACTTTCCTCTCAGTTACGCCTTATCAAACCAAACATTAAACAGAAAACTGAATTTGCTCATTCAAAATCTTCACACATTCCCCGTCATGTTTTACAGTTTTCTATGATATAACAAAATACAAAAAAATCACAATACCCTATTAACATGCAGTTCGCCACAGTAAGTGATTTTAAACCCACGCGTTAAGCGATCTCAGCAATCCACTAGGTCGAAGATATAAGTAGACTGTTCGACGAAAAACAACTGGGATGTTTACAACACCTCTTCTAGGCCCATAACCTGATGCAATAGCTGATGGCAACTCGAGATGTAATCAGAAGAAAAATGTCAATTTATTTTTATTGAAGTGATTAGTATTTTTTATCTAATACTAAGGGTAGCTGATTATTACTCTACGTACACGTTATATCCTATAAAATGCCACCCTACTAGTCAAATAAAAGCTAGGGTGGTAAATCATTCACACATATTTTTCAAATTTGCCAAATTTGCAAATCTCACGCTGCTGCATAACATGCCGGGTGTGCATTTGTAACAAAATAGCCTCTAATTAAAATCCCTGACTATATCAGCCATTTCAGGCATCTCGTCGCCTAGGTTTCTGAAACTAATTAAGAGAACAAAGCGCTATAGAAATTTAACTGATGCAGAAAAGACATATTTCATTTCCAATACGGTTTATGACAATTCCAGTAGGTACACGTAACATGGTAAAATCAACCCTCTAAATTTCAACAACCTGCAAATTTGCCTTACCCAAACTATACTATTCTTAGAAATCCAAAAATTTCTAACTTCACAACGAAACTTCAAACAAATGTAAATGCAAATTTAGAGCTACCGTTACATTATTGATTGTACAATTTCTTCTTACCTTCATTTCTGTCATCAAAACATTGAATAAATGGTTCTCCTTTGTTCATTGCAGATTCAGTTTCTTTGGAAAAAAGAGAATTTTTTGCTTGTATGTAACTCATTCCCTGTTTTTATAACCAATATCAATCAGAATGGACAATTTCTAATTGTTGTGTTGTTTGATTGCATCCTTTTTGTTAAACGCAGAGAACACATTTTTTATAATAATTACATATGTTACGGATAAACTGTTTACTTGGGTACTTTATAGACTAGCTGGATAGTAGGTATGTAAACTCTCCAAATATGTGGTTATTTTGATAGGATATTAAAATAGCTACGAGGTTTGTATACTATCCAGTTAGTCTATAAAATATACAAGATTTATCGCCAAAAAGTACAAACTACAAGAAAATTATATAAATTAACCAGAATTTTTGGCTAATTCACAAACTATTCACAGTAGTTGGTGGATAAAGTGTGAACTCAATATTCCTAGTAATAGATACATAATATAATAAGTTAATAATAATTTAGTTCAGGATGGTAAAATAAATCTGGATTAAAAATAGATTTTACTCTGTCACTTTTTAACTTATTTTTAAGTAGTAATAGCAGGGGCGGACTGGGTACTTACGCGCCAGGTGGAATTGCATAAGTTACGGGCTCTGCGGTGCACCACAAAAACATTTTTTGTTTCATTTTAAAGTATTCCTTTCTCGAAAATCAATTAGAATATAGTTTTTTTTTAATTGCAGCTGATAAAAGTAACAAAATATACAAACGAGGCGAGTTGCCTATAATTGTGTTTCAGCACTTTCAAAATACGAGGAAAAATGATAAATTCATTGTAAAACACTGAAATAAAAACAGAATTTTTTAAACAACCCAACATCAACCCCAATGAGAGAAACGTGTTAGTCATTTATTAATAGCGCAAGAAACTAAATACAGCACATACTTATAATCCAGCTTTGTTGTCCTTTTATAATACCATTTATAACGCATATTATAAATGAATGCCTCTACACTAATACGTTTCCTTCACAATGGAAAGTGGCTTATGTCAAACCTATCCCTAAAATTAATAATCCTTCATGCTATAAAGACTTGAGACCGATTAGTATACTGTGCACTTTGTCGAAAATATTGGAGAAGGTTATGAAAGATCAAATAAATGAACACATTCTTAAATATAATCTTTTAACACCTTACCAATCTGGGTTTCGAAAAAATTATAGTTGCACCACAGCATTACTTAGTATTACCGACGATATCATTAAAGCTACAGATGCAGGATATCTCACAGTTTTGGTATTAGTAGATTTTTCTAAGGCATTTGATACTATAAATCATAAGCTTCTTTTATCAATACTGAATCATTACGGTTTCGATGTGTCTGCGGTACAACTTATTACCTCTTACCTTGAAAGTAGGCAGCATTGTGTGCTTATGGATAACATTAAATCTTCTTTACTTGATGTACATAGTGGAGTCCCACAAGGCTCCATTTTGGGGCCACTTTTATATGTCATATATTCAAATAATATCTGCAGGGACTTTAAAAGCTGTAAATTTCATCAATATGCTGATGATACACAGGTATATTGTTCATTCCCACCGTCTGATACATCTGATGTAATAAAATTAATAAATAAAGAACTTGAAGTGCTTGTCCGAACTGCTACAAACCATAATTTATTTATTAATGCAAAAAAGTCCACTGTGCTGCTTTTTGGACGAGATAAAGCTAGAATCCAGAACTTGGATCTCATTAGGATTAAAGTGCAAGGATCGGTATTGAAAGTGTGGCACGATGCAAGAAATCTTGGAGTTTTAATGGACTCTAACTTTAAGTATGTTAGCCATATTAATAATTGTTTGCGCAAGGCATATTCTACTCTAAAGCGTTTGTATCCGAATAGACATCTTTTATCTACTAAAACCAAAATAACCCTAACAGATACCCTTGCTTTGTCACATTTTAATTATTGTGATGTTTTGTTTCATGCATGCATTGACACAGCTACTGCCACCCGTATACAAAGAGTGCAGAATTCTTGTTTGAGATTTATTTATGGCATTGGGCGCAGAGATCACATTTCACATAAGATGATCGAGGTGGGATGGCTTAATATGTCTCAGCGTAGAATGTTGCATTCTCTAGTTCTTTACCATAAGGTTATTATCACCCAAACACCAAGTTACCTAGCTGATCGTTTAGAATATAGAACTAGCTTACATAATCTAAATTTGCGCCATAGAAGGTCTACTAAATATCCCTTTCCATCACACTGCTTACTTTGAAAAATCGTTCACATATAATATATGTAAGCTGTATAACATGATTCCGTCCCCTCTTAAAAATCTACAACCTCTCGGCTTCAAAAATAGAATCAGACAATATCTGAAACTTGAGCTACCCAAATGAACTGGTGTGTCTTAAGATTTTAGTACTTATACTTGTATTTTTATTTTTGTTTTCTTTCCTCTCTTTGTATTCAAGTATTAATTTGTTTCTGAGTGCTAGCGTAATTTATATTTTATTTTCCTATAACGAGTTGGGGTTACATGGAAGAACAGGGTTGTCAAAACACTGAATGTAGTCCCATTTCCCGTATACATTATGTGTTACTCATTTATATATATTATATATTTTATACTTATTTGG